TTATGCCATTTTATATAAGGGACTTGATCATCTGCAGAATTTTTATAACCACAGGGGTCCTGAAACCAGTCCTCTGAGAATACTAAGGGACACCTGTGTATGAGTTGCAGACAGTAGTAGATTCCTGGGAGTTATCTGGAGACAGCTTCATAGAGGAGATGAGTTGGAGCTGAGTATTGAAGCAGTCACATTTATATAAGTAAAGGAGAGAGGAAGGGTGTACCAGCTGGTGATAACAAAGTGAGAAAGGCTCAAGTGGGAATAAGCATACTCAATTTGGCTATGGGTAGGTAATTTTGGAAGATAATTGAAGATAAAGCAAAGCATGTAAAGGGGGCAAAAGGAATACAAATTCCAGCATGAAAGTTCACTTGCATCCAGGATTACTGTTAAGAATATAGGCTTGGTAAATGTCACCTGCAAATTCTAACTAAATCATTCTGCTTCACTTATGTGGGAGAGAGGGCAGTGCAAAGAATGCCCAAAACAATAGAAGAAACAAGTTTTGACATGCATGTGATTTCCTTTGAAATCAGAAATATCTATAAAAATTAAAATTTAAAAAACCCTTACCTGGAGAAAAATCTTACTCATTTTTTAAAGCCAATAGTTCCTTTAAGCAATTAATAAGCATTTTACTGCTCCCACCAAACATCATCAAATCATATGGAAAGTAGGAACTTCATATCAAAGAGCAACATAATCAGGGATACTCCTGTGGGCTGGTGACATGCCTGCTCTGCTCAAATGACAAGTCACTGGGCCTGCTGTGTGTCCAGGGGATATTCCCATTGCAATTTGTCAGCAGATTAGCAAATGTTCTTAGTGACAGGAATACACAGGCCAGGGATATCCTTACCCTCATGCTTGGCTCAGATGATCACAGTGCAATGTCCCTCTGCTCTTCTGGCTCCTTCTAATGGTCCCAATGCCAATTAAACAACTTCCTCACTGCTGGATCTAAATTTGGACATGCGCATCAAGTTGGGGTGGCTTATAACACTAATTAAATCCTTTGCAGAAGTGTTAAGTAATCAGTCCCAGAATGGATGAAAAGAAAAAGAAGAAAATCCTCAAACATGAGTCTGAAATGATTCCTGTCTCTACTGAAGATTCATAAGAGCACAGCTGAAACAACATTCTACCATAAATTGAAAGATTCTGGTAACAGCAGGAAACAAGCTCATCTCCCAAGTCTTCCCTCACTAATTCAGTACAACTACCACAAGTTCTAAAATCATATATGGACACCTAGTGGTCAGAGTTAGCTAAGCCCACAAGGTCACATTTTACTTCAGTCCTACTCCAAGAACTTACTGTGAGACTGCCATTCAGTACCTCCTTTAACCTAGTATGATCCTGTATGATTTTCCTCCCTTCTTCAAGGCATATCCATGAAGGTTTAATTATGTGCTTATTTTATTCTAGCTAAACTCTCAATGTTAAGTTATTTTTAAGTACTTTGGTATTGCAAAGTGTATCCTACGATGAATCCATTTGCCATACATTAAACTCCCACCATTCCTTTGTCCTACTTTCTTTCATTATTAGGGTGTAGTTTCTTTCCCTGCAAAGTCTATGTATTTTAATAGCATTACTTGCTTCATGAAATATAATTGAAAAGAGAAGACTGTACTAGAAATGCATCAGAACAGTTCATATCATAACACCAATATCTGAGTGACATTAGCATCATTTTGGAGAGTCACCTTTTCCCTCCTGTTCCCACAACCACAAAATTAGACAGGCAGAGAGAAAATATTAATAAGAAGAATCAAGAGAATAACAGAATATAACAAAAGTAAAAATAATCCCAAAGGGTAACAATTTAAGAGGCCTTATTTCTGTCTGATCAATCTTTAAAGATATGTTTGAGTCATTTCTAGAGAAGAATTATGACAATTTTTGAAGATATAAGCTTTCAGATAAAAAATTTTGCTGAAGCTGGGCATGGTAATTCACGCCTGTAATCCCGGCACTCAGGAGACTGAGGCAGGAGGATCGCCATGAGTTGGAGGCCAGCCTGGGCTACATAGTGACTTTGAGGCCAGCCTGAACTACACAGTGAGGTCCTGTCTCAAAAAACAATTGCTGGAACCATTTCAAATCAGACTTTTTCACACTATAGAAGATATAAGGAATCAGAAGACGCTGATGGTGTAGAATGGTGAACATGGGCCAGTGTTTTTATTTGGTCTTGGAGCTAAATTTGCCAGATCATCACACAATATCTGGTATATAGATGTATTAGTTAGCTTTCTCGTCACTTAGGCAAAATACCCAACACTTACAATTTAAAAGAGAAAAAGTTTCATCAGGCTCATGGTTTTGGGAGTCAGTCAGTGGTCAGCTGGCTCCAAGGCAGAAACAGTATGGTGAAAGGGTATGGTGTAGGAAAGCTACTTAACCAACAACAATTAAGAGAGAGGAGTCAGGGACAAAAACATATGCCTTTTGGGTCACATTTTCAGTGACCCATCTATTTTGACCTGGCCTCACCAATGAACTCAGGAGACTTTGGGGAAACATTTTAGATCTAAAACATGACAAGTTATATTTTAAAAGTATTTACTGTTTATCTGAAACTATTTTAAATGAATGTGCTATATTTTATCAGAAATTCCAATTTAAAGGGGGTGAAAAGACCTATTTTGAGAAAACAACTGCCTCTGGAAGAATGTGAGTCATTTGCATGGATGAAAATGGTGATTTGCATGACACAGTTAAGTCCCCAATTTAAGAACGAGTTCCATTCTGGGAGAACATTTGTTAAGTCAGATTTGTTTGTAAGTCTAATAAAGTCTTACACACCTTTGAAACAAATATACAATATAAACTATTTTTGGTTTTATAATTACCTTAAAATGGTGGTAAGTACCGTACAACAATTGGGATATAGGGAATTGCATGGAGTGAACTGACACAAAGAGAGTTACTAACTGGAGGAGGGAGGGTTAGCAGGAGATGGCCAAGCTGAAGGATCATCAGCAACAGGAGATGGGGGCAAGATGAAAATCACCCGCACCTGATGTTGATGACACAGGTCTTTTGATGGGCTCAATTCGGTCTACCTTCTTGAGAAAATGATCCAGTGATAAACAGTGATAGAGTGGTAGCTATTTTTTTTCTCATCATAGGTGATTCTGTAGCACTGGATGGCATTCTGAACAGCCGCTGCAACCTTTGTGTATCATTCTACTTTGGGGTCCTGTATCTCAAAAAATAACACAGTACTTTAGTGATTTGTTCACATCTATGAATGTTTATAAAATGAGGTCTGTTCATATCGGTAAAAATTCACAATTGGAATATTTACAAATTGGGGACTTACTGTACTGGCATAAAAACAGACATGAGGATCAATGGGTCAGAATAGAGGAAGGACACAGAAACAACTGCAAGTACATTCAACTACTTGATCTTTGGTAAAGGGACCAAAAGGGACACACTAGAGGAAAGATGGCCTTTACAGTAAATAGTGTTGGGGAAACTGGCTATTCACATGCAAACCACCTACTCTAGACCCATGTCTCTCACCGTGTACTAAATTGAAATCAAAATGGATCAAAGAGCTAAATGTTAACCACTTAACCTGCTAGAAGACAAAATAGGTAAAACTCTTGAAGTCATAGGCATAGGCAAGGACTTTCTGACCAGAACCCTAATTGCAAAGGAAGTAGTTCCAAGAATCAATAAATAGGGTTGTATCAAATTAAAAGTCTTTTGCACAGCAAAAGAAATAGCCAGCAGAGTGAGAAGACAGCCTACAGAATGGGAAAAAATTTTTCACAGTGATTCTGCAGACAGAAGATTTATATCTAAAGTCCTAATAAACTAAAATTAGTAATTCCATTTGACCCTTTTAAGTATCTTCCCAGAAGAGTTAAAGACATCATATTACAGGGATATATGCATACCAATATTTATTGCAGCACAATTCATAATTGCTAAATCTTAGAAGCAGCCCATATGTCCACTAACAGATGAATGGATAAAGAAAATGTGGTGTTTATATACATGGTATACTGTTCTTCCACAAAGAAAATTAAACTTAAGTCATTTGGAGGAAAATTGATTCACCTTAAAACCATAATAGTAAATGAAATAAGTCAGACACATAAGGTTAAATGTCACATTTTCTCTTATATGGTAAACCCAAAACATAAATAAATAGCAAAATAAATGATAGATAAAAGGAAGTAGGGAGACAGATATTTCTTAAAAGGGAAAAGGATCAAGAGATGGAGGGAGGAGAAGGAAAGGGGCTAAGGAGGGAAAAGGAGGGAAAGAAAGGGAGGGAAAGAAATTAAGATGTGTTATATGCATGCACCAACTCCACACAAGGAATGGAAACATTAGATACTACACACAAGTACTAATAAAATTTTTTAAAAGTTGAAACATGATACTTTGGTGGAGTTCCAAAAATTAAAAAGCAAAGTTCCAATATTGTAAGCATGCAGATACTTCGCATTTATTTAATGATTTATAATTGATAAAGTATTTCATACTTTTTTAGTCACTCTCATTGCTGGAAAAATACCCAGCACTTGCAACTTAAAGGAAAACAGGTTCATTTTTGCTCACAATTTTAGAGGATTCAGTGAACAGTTCGCTGTTTCCAAGGCAAAAAGGACCTGGTAGAGGAAAGCTGTTCAGTCATGGCATCCATATATCAGAGAAAAAAGGGAGAATCTGGGGACAAGAACACACCCTTCCAGGTCATCCCTTCAGTGAGCTTCCCCCTCTGATCAGGTTCTACCCCTGAACATGAGACTTTTGGGGGACATTTTAGGTGTAAATCATAACATTTCACCCCTTGTCTCCAAAATGTTCGTGTCAACCTTATTATGCAAAATGCATTAAGTCCAACTGTAAGCGTTGCCAGAGTCTTAATGTGCCAACATTGCTTGAAAGGTCCAATTCCAAAGTCTCCTCAGAGACTCAAGGCAAATTCTTAGCTATAAGCCCCTATGAGAATTAAAAAGAAAGTTGAACATTTCTAATATACAATGGCAAAGGGAAAACATTCCCATTCTAAAAGGAAGAAATAGGGGAATAGAAAGTAGTAGCACTAAAACAAGACTGAAAACCAGCAGGGCAAATATTAAATCTTGTAGTTACAAGTCCAGCAACAAGGACAGGTTTGGGGGAGATGTGAACTCCACAGGGTGCAGGCAGCCCTGCTCCTATGGCCTTGCTGGTAGCAGCCCACGTGGCTTTTCTCTTGGCTTGATCCATGTGGTTTTCCTCAGTAGACATTCCATGTTTCTGGCATTGGCAACTTCCTGGGGTCTCCACTGCACCTTTCAGCTTCACTCTGGCAGCTTCATTCATTGCCCTCCAATGGTGTGTTAGTTATTTTTCTCTCATTGTTGAGACAAAATATCCAACACCAAAGTTAAATGAGGAAAGCTTTATTTGGCTTACAGTTCATAGAGGTTTCAGTCCGTAATTGGCTGGCTCCAAGGCAGGGTGGCAGAAGAGCAATAGTTCATGGTGGAGGAAGGCACCAAAAGCAACACAAGAGCCCTACCAGCTTCCTGTCCCTTTTATCTTATTCAGACTACTTGGGGCAGGTAGTACTTATGCCTTTAATCCCAGTGCCTTCAGGCCTAGCCCCACCATGAATCAACCACACATTCTATATTCAACCACCTCCGGAAAAGCATGAGGCTTTGGGGGGACATCTAAACACAAGCCATAACAAGTGGGCTCATAGCGGGGAATGTGTCCCCATCACACATTTTTCTGGCTTCCCAGGCCTTCTTCTGAAGGCTGAGTGGATTCTTCATGACCTCATAACTCTTGCATTTTGCATGCTTGAAAAACCAGCACCACCTGGATGATGCCATGGTCAGCTTCCAGCTTGAACATAGACAGGCTCCCTTGGACCATATTTATATCAGTATCTGAGTGTCTGGATGACCGAACACACTTTCTCATACAGCCCTGAATGAGCAGGCATCCCAATAACTCTCTTCTCAAATGAAATATTTATAGTTTTGTACCCCTGAACTTGAGATGGGTATGGTCTTGCTGACTTCTGAGATGCCACCAAGGCACCTTCCTTCTTGTTTCTGTACAAAGTACTTGGGTTTTTTAATAGTGATAAACCTTTCAGCATCCACAAATCCTTTGGACGCAACTACACATGCTTCTTTTCTGACCACCAGCAAAATTTTCCACATATTTTGGCTCTACTCATTGCTCCTGAGTTTCACTGTAGACCTAAAAGCAGTACCCATGCCACAGCCTGAATGTTGGTCACCCTTGAAATTACCTCCAAAAGATTAATTAGTTCATTACCTTTAAATTCAGCCTCACATGAAATCTTAGGATGTAGGCAAAATATAGGAAAAGTCAAACACACATTACCTCCAATCCAGTTTCCAGTAGTCTTCATTCCCAACTGGTCATTGTTTGCCTTTCTATCTACATTCTGGTCTTCTGAGCTCCAACCAGAATTACCATCAAACTTGGCATAAGCATTCTAGGGCTTCTCTAGCTGGCATCTCCAAATTTTTCCTACCCCTCCTAAAATCCAGTTCCAAAGGCTTTTAAACCACATGGCTAGGTATAGTAATAGCAACATCCACACTCCTAGTATCAATTTCCTGTATTAGTCACTTTCCTATCACTGGGACAAAATATCTGACACTCACACTAAAAATAGGAGAGGCTCATAATTGGCTCACGTTTCAGTGAGTTCAGTCCATGGCTGGCCAGCTCCAGAACAGGAATAGCACAGTAGAAGGGTCTAGTAGAGGAAAGCTACTCACATCATGGCAGCCAGGAAGCACAGCAAGAAAGGAGGTGCCAAGGGCAAGAATACACCCTTCCAGGTCATACTCTCAGTGACCTGCCTCTTCCAGTCAGGCCCAACCTCCCAACACATGATACTTATTGGGGACATTTTAGATTTGAGCCATAATAATATTTATTGTACTATCAGTTCTCTCTTGATGTCAACCCTTATGTGGGAATTTCTATGCCCATTTTAAGGCTCAGAGATGCTAAAGAATTATCTCCATGATCCACATAGAGCTGTATGGGTAAGCCAGAATTTAAGTCCAAGTCTCTCAGTAGGTATAGTATCTAAAAATAAAGGAAAAGTTCATATGACCACTAAGAAAGACTTTCAATCCCTCAGCTTCAGATGAAACTTAAATGTCTTGCAGACCTAGTGTAAAAGCAACATTGTGGCCTAAAGTCTAGGAAAATGAAAAGCTATTCTCTGATCTGACACATACCTTCAAACTATAGAATCCAGGTTGAAGGCTGGGGATTTAGCTCAGTGGTTCCGCTGCCTCCCTGGCAAGTGCAAGGTCCCAAATTTGATTCCTGGTACCAAAAAAAAAATAAAAAGTTTGAATCCAGGTTGAGTTTTAAGCCATAAAACTATTCATTTTTTCCCCCAAGTACAGTGACACATTATTCTTTTGACTCAGGCTTATTCACATGTATCCAAAACATTTAATTCTCTAACTACTACTCTTTGTAACTCAGGTATATTTTCTAGAGATCTTTAAGAAAATTCAAGATGATCCAAATCATTTTAACTTAGAATTAACTTTCCCTAGATCTTTATACATCAAATATAGAAAGTGTTCTTTTATTAATTCTCTTGTCAGTAAACTAGATGGATCATTTTTAACTTGTAGAGCAGTGACAGCTAGTGTTCAGAGTGAATACTGCACTTCTCTCTTTAACAGTTTTTACCTTTAATCTTTACTCTTCAAATTGTAGTGTTCCTCAAAATTCCCTAAGGAGCTTAAAGTATAGATTCCTAAATTTTCATTCTCATAGATTCTGATTCTACATATATCTGGGGGCAATGCATATTTGCTATCTCGAGTGGTATCACCCCTTTTCCCACCTCCTGGTCACTCTCATCCGCAAGTCTGTAAAAGTGCTTCTCAAACTTCAGTGTATATATGAGGCACTAGGGATCATGTTAAAATGCATATTCTGGGAAAGCTGTTTGGGGATGGGGGTCAAAAAGTCTGCATTTCTAACAATTTCTATTTTAAACCTAAGCATTTGTACTTAGTAGAAGCATTTCTACTTCTTTATGTAGTGAGATCACCACAGACTGAATCCTCTGAGTTTACAAAAATGTCACTGATAGATACTTTTGCTAAATGGTTAGAGAGATTTTATTACATTTCTTCACCCTTGTTCTCTACTCTGCCACATACTTGAAGTCTTAAAGGATATCTCCAACACCTCAAGAAGTAGGCAGGAATAAGGTACATCAACAATCTGATGGGTGTCCTGTCTAAATCCTTGCTTGCTCCTCTCTTGACCAAGCCATTTCCTAACACCAAACAGATGAGCCCAGACAGTATCATCCCCTATAAGTGCTATGCACATATGTGGGAACCAAAGCTCCTTACTACATTATCCCCTCTCAGTAAGAATAGAGTTCAGAGGAATTTGGTGATGACAATAATGATAATGTTGATAATCTGGATGAAGAGGATATTGGCTAACATGTACTGGACACTTGCTAACTAATTCACTGGGATACATTTTTATATTTATATATAATATATTTGTATTATCTATACATTTCTCAAAACATCCCTAATAGATTATATTATTGTCCCAATTTAATGATGAGGAACTGTAGAGAAAAACAAATAGATAATAGTTAACATCCAATATCACAATTAAAGCCTAGTTTTAGACTGCATGAGTTATAGTCAAACTAAAAGCCAAAATATTAAACCATTGTACCGCAAAAGCATAACATTCACTCTAACATATCTAATGTTCATGTGTTGCTATCAATCATGAGTGCCTAGAACATACAAGAGGTTTCCAGGACAAACTTAGGTTTTCTAGAAATAGCTAGAACATATGCCAACCTTAATATATCAAGTACTAAAGAACTATTGGAGCATCTATGAAGGCACCTTAAAAGATGTACTGTCAGTAGCTGAGCTGTGCTGGGAGTGGTGGCACACACCTCAAATCCCAGTACACTTGGGCCTGCCTGAAACAGGAAGATCACAAGTTTGAACCCAGCCTGGACAATATAACAAATCAAAATAAAATTGAAATTTTTTTAAAAGATCGGGGAGGTACTTCAGTGTGAAGGTCCTGGGTTCATTCCCAAGTACTGCAAAAAATAAAAACCACAGAGTTCTGTGACCAAGACAAATAACAAAACTATTCATATACTTTTACCTATATCCTTTTTTATTCATTTTATTATCCTTCCTTTACATGCTATTTTATTCAAACAAGTAATGGCTGTATAAAACCTTTTCTTAAAATAACACAGAATATTGCCTCCAAATTTCTAATATACTTTAGTATGCTTAGTTGAGCAGAAAAGATTCTCTCTTGTCTCTTTTGGTTTTATAATACTATTGTCTTTATAGAAAGGGCTGGCTTCAATTCAATAATCTTTGCAAGCTGAGAACTTAGTGATGACTACATATTCCCTAGTTTGCTTTAAGTGTATGTCCTTTGTTGTTGAGAATCAATGTTCTCTGGAACAAAAAGGAGGCCATATGTTTATCAGAAAGCATTAATGCAAGCAGGTGTGAGGATGAGACTAGAAAGAAAACTCTAAGGATTACATATTAGCCTCTGAATAATCTCATAATCTAGGACTTTGATCAAGGACTTAGATCTCTGTAGGCTCTGCTTTGCGTCTGAAGACTAAGTACAAACCAAGATTGAGTAAAAGGAAGGGAGCAAGTAGATAAGAGGAAATTGGAAAAACAGTTGAGAGACAGCTAGTCACCTCCCTCTTCTTAATTTTGTTGTCATAGAAGGAATAGAGATTTTGCAGCTATACAAATCTGACTTTGAATCTCACATCCATCACTGTAAGTAGCTCTGCAGCATAAGTAGTTTACTTAGATCTGAGTTTTGCTCAGTTTCTTTATCTGTAAAATGTAAAACCTACAACTTTTCCCAGCAGAGTTCTTGAGAAGAGGATGCTAGGTAGATGTGGAATCCAGAAATAGAACAACAAAGAACAGCTGCTATTAATGATAGCTGCCAACACTTCTTCCTCTGTTCAATTTTCAATACATATATAATGATAACCTCATTGTGACAGGAATATAGAGAAGTCCCAGGAATGGTGAGCAAACAGATAAAATCTCTGTCCTCAAGAAGTTCATCCTTTGACTACCACAGTGACCAAAATTCAATCTCCATTGTGACTCCTTCAGCAAAGTAGCCATTACTCTATCAATCAAATAAGATGGACTCTTTCTTGGTTCTTAATAAGACCTTTGAGTCCAATCCAATAATAATATCCAATTATCTTCCTAACATCTAGAATACTTCAGTCTCTGTCCACACCCCCCACCTTTCATCCTTTATTCTCTGGTGAGACTTTTTTGCTTTTGATGCTAGATTTTTCTCCTTCTGTTACTCCTCTAATATTTCCTAGAGTTCTAAGTTTTACCTTTTCTCTTTACATTCTGCACCAGTGGCCCCTGATCTTTATGGGCATTGACTCTTTCAAGGATCCTCAAACCTCCATCTCCCACATAATCCAGTTTCCTGAGCAAAAAGCCTGCTTTCAAACAACTACCTTGACAATTCCACATGAATGTCCTTCAGGGATCTGAAAATATCCCACACCAAACTCGTTATCTTTCTCCTTCAAACTCTTCTCCCCCTAGGCGGCAGAATTCTATGGGGGAAAGGAACACTATTTTCAACCAAATAGACTAAATGTAAATCCTACCTTGGAAGTTTCAGTAATATACTTAACCTCTTTGGGCTTTAATTTCTTCATTTATAACAGGAGAATAATAGTTTCTTCATTTTCTCTATTTTTATGAGGATTAAAATAGGTAATAGGCAAATACGTATTCAAGTGCCTGCCACACAGCATATATTCCATAAATATTAATATCACTGATTCTCAGTCTCAGTATAAGCAACCCCATTCACCAAGTACCTTGAGCCAAAAATATAGACATCACCTTCAACTTGTTCCCTTTTCCTCATTTGTAACCACTCTGGATTACTATGCTGTGTTGATTCCTTACCTTCCCCCTGCCTGTATCCCAGGTTCTTGTTTTCTTCATGAATATAACAGTTCATGGTTTCCTACCTGGCTGATTCCATCATAGTTCCACTTCCTTCTCATCTATTCCCTGCACTGAGGCCAGAGAACAGTTCCAAGACCCAAATCTGATAATGCAATGACTCTGTTTAAATCTGCCCACTTGCTGCTCGTTGCTTCCAAAATTACATTTATGTCAGTATTACACTGAAGATTGGTGATGACCTGGTTCTCATCTACCTCCAAATCAATTCCTCAATCTAGTTGTGCATCTTTTAAACCACCCCTAGTGCATTGTACTTTATACCTCTACTCATGTTGTTTTTGTTGCCTAAAATGTCCTCAACTCTATCTCATCTTGGCAGTTAGGCAAATACCTACATATCTTTCAAAACACAATTCAGTTATTGCTGGCAGGCAGCCTCCTGCCATATTGTTGATCACTGCCTCATTTTATCTCTTGTCTATGACAGATGATTTTCCATCATAGCAAAGATGAATAACATGTAGTTCCTGGTCTCAAAAAGCTTACACTCAACATTCAACAGAAATCTTGTTATATATAACAAGACAAATAGGAAAGAGAATTATAAGGCACACAAAAAAATATGAGTTGTAAACAACCACAACCCTCGACCAAATGGTCCCTTCTTTGAAGCCTTCTGTGGTCCACCCACTGCCAACTGTATATATATGTGTGTTACTACATAAGTGTTGGATGTGTGTTAACTCATTCAGTCTTCACAAAGCTAAGAGACACTATTATTATGCTCATTTTAGAAGTGAGAAAACTAGAGAATAAAACTTTGTAAGTTGTGCAATATAACCAAACCAGAAATAGAAACACCAGATTTAAGACTGACCCCGTTTGTGTGGTGTCAGTCTATCCCTTATGACTAGGGTATTCTGCTTTCTAGAAGAGCACAAGCAGAGGTGGTAGAGGTCTTCAGAACAGTAACTCTTGGAATCATTGGAAAGATGATCTGGAATTTCCTCTTCAAATCTAATTTAAATCCTGTCACTGATGTTTACAATGTAAAGGCCTCAGATTGCTAACTTCATTGGAACCCTCTGGCACTCTTCTCCTTCCTGAGGGACTTGGCATCCAGACTGTAACGAGAGACCAACAGTCCTAACAGAAAAAGAGAGCTTCTACCTCTTGCTTGGTTTTCTTATGTTTAGTTCCAGACTTGGCCAACCTGAAGTCCATGGGTTGCAGATACCTGTGTTAAAATTAAAAAGAAAGTTTTGTTACTTACATACATGAGCATGCCATATGGTTCATATTCTGCCCAAGAGTTTCTCTTTACTCAGTGTGGCCCAGACATGGCACGCGTGTACAAGCTATGGGCCACAGGTTAAACACGTGTAGGTGTTTTCTCTGAGAAAATATGCAGTCTGATGAGTTTAGTCGCTGGCCCTCTTTTGGAGCTATTAATTTCCAGCAGTAAAAAGCAACAATTAAAGTAAGTTGAAGTGAGGAATTTTTGTTTTCTATACCCAATCGCCCAGCTCTTTCTTACAGAAAACAGGAAATATATATTCGATATGAGGACTTTGGGCAAGGACAATTTCAGGAGAGTGGGGGTTTTGAGACATTACATAGTATTTCCCAAGGAAAGTCATAGGATCTCCTTCCTTGGGCATCCTTAGCTAAGACATGCTAAGACATTCTCCTTTTTCTAAGATTGAGCATTCACTGATTTGAACAGCTGTGTGGTATAAGATGGCAAGTGATTTGTAAAGCCAATAATTTGGACATCACTTACTATGGTAATTGGCCAGAGGTGGAATTAAGTTTGCTCTGTGCTACTAACATAGAAGACATTTGTCTAACAATATATGGGGGGGGGGGTGCTCAAATTATGTAACAACTACTCTCAAATAGTTTTAAAAAACAGTTTTGCCAGTAACTGTGCTCCAAATTATTACCCAACTGATTTGGAAACATATCCATAGAAAAACCTGCACATGATTCTTTTTTTTTTTTTTTTTTTTTTAATTTTTTTTTTGGTACATTTTAGGTATACAATACATTTACATTTATCATTGGGTGCTTGTACCTGTATATGATGCATCTTGGTTTTTATTTTTTCCCCATTCCCTGTGCTCCCCTCCACCCTTCCCTATTTACAAAGACTTTGTTTCCATTTTTTCCTTTTCTCATAGTTTTTCCTTTCCCTTCTTTCCTTTCCCCTTCCCCTCCCACTTCCCCTAGCTCTTTGGGCCTTTTCTTCCTATTTCAAATTATCAATTATTCGTTTCAATCATTTTAATCCTTATTTACACATATTGAGGCCATACTCTTAAGTGAAATAAATAGGACACACATGTGTAAATACTGCACATGAATCTTTAAAAAAACTTTATTCACAATCATCAAAAACTGAAAGAAACCAAAGTGTTCCTTAATAAGTGAAGGTTTAAACAAAGAATGAAACATCTATGTTTTAGAATATTTTCACAGATTTAAAATAAGAAAAGCTCTTGAGTCACATAAAAATGGAAAATGCTAAAGGAAAATCAGTCTGAAAATCTACATATTGTATATTTCCCTTTCTATGTCATTGTGGAATAGTCAAAACCCTAGAGATGGTAAATAAATCAGTAGTTACTAGGTGTTTGAGGAGGTAAGAAGATTTAATAAATGAACAATAGATTTTTTTTTAGAATGGACTAAAGGCAAAATAACTACCCATAAGCATTGTACTGTATTTGGTAATCTCTTTCCCACAGGCATAACTAATCACAATTCTGAACACACCATACATGCATACTGAGTATGGGTTACCAATTCTGAGCCCACTATACGTTTGAACTGGAATCAAACAATTCAGTAAATAAATGGCAGATGGTGGGAGCCAGGTTTCTCACACTGGAGTGGAAGCTTACATACAAGCAGAACAAAGCTAGCATGATCCCGTAGTGCTGGGTTAGGCCTGGAGATCAGTATAAACTCCTATTTAGCTGACATAGATGCAGATGGGTGCATACATAATATTTATAAATAAATATATTTACTCAGATTAATATACACAAATATATCTCCTTTCTCTGTAGTTAAGCAGGTCTAGAAACAGCAATACTCCAAACATCCAAGTCTTGATTTCTAGTACCATTTTCCATTAAAAAAAGGACCCATGCTTAGCTCCTTGGGAAAGTGGCTGACCTAAGGACCGAAGCAAAGAATATACAAAATGATCCTGGAGCATCTTGTAATGCCAGAAATTGAGGAAATGATCAAGGCAAATACATACAAACTATGAAGGTTTGTCAAAAAAGCACTAGTGCCAATTAAAAGAAATCCCACTACCAAAACTGGGTCTACCTGAACTACAAAATCAAGTAGTATTGGATTATAAACCAAAATTTAAAATAAATATCCACAAGTCCATACTAATATAAATAATTTAATACATAAACAAATGGGGAAGAATAGATAAATCTCCAATGCAGAAGAAGTCCAAATGATTTATGAAGATTCTCTGCCCTCTAAGAGTATCTTCTACAATTCGGGGAGCACTGAGTGACATCCTTCCAAAGGAAAAAAGAAACTTCTTAGTGGAGAAAACTGACAGTAATCAACGGTAATAAGTCATGTTGATATGATGTAACCTTGACTGACGTGGGGATGAGGACACTTCACACCCCTCCCCGCAAACAACCCATTGTTTCAGTCAAAACCTCAGGCAAACCCCAACCCGCTGTTCAAGAAAATACTCGATGAATAAGCCTCCAAACTAACAAGGTCATCAGAAGCAAAGAAAGTCTAAAGAACTGCCTCCATCTAGAAGGCTTGAGACGATTTAGATGTCTCCATTAAATGTGGTGTCGTACTCTAAATTCTGGAAAAGGACATTAAGTTAAAAACTAAGGAAATCTGGGCCAGGGATTGAGCTCAGTTCGATCCCTGGTCCAAAAAAAAAAAAAAAGAAATCTGAATGAAGCACGCATTTTAGTTACTATCTTTAAAAATATATCAGATAAATTAAAACGATACGTTATTTTATAAGTTGCCTGATAGGTCTCTACTGAGCCTGTATTGCGAGCCTGGTACTGTAGTACAGCCGGGGACAGAGAAAAAGGTAAGTAGCCTATGCTGAAAAGCAAGGATTCAGGAAAAATAAACAATAAAGATACTGCAAAGCACTATATTATGAAGGGAGTAAGAAAGGCTGTGGGGAGTGGGGACGATCTAGCAAACGGATTAATGAGTCAAGGAACTCAACTCCAAGGCCCTCCCGGCCCAGCTAAACGGGCGTCACCTCCACGCTTCGGGCTCAGCCTCGCCCCTCCTTTGGCCCACCCAGGCCTACGTGACAAGCGGGCGCATCCTTATTTCGGCGATCCCTTGCCTCGATGTGCTCGGAAGCCACTTCTTCAGCCTGCTTGGCCCACACGGACGCACCTCCCATTGCTTTGACCGCCGCCATCTTGACTGCGGAAGAGTCGGGTTCTGGGGTTGCTGGAGCCGGCCCTGGTGATTGGTACGGATGGTTTCCGCCCGCCTTAGCCCCTCCAAATTCGCCCGTCCTCGGGCCGCAGCTTTCGGTATTCCCCCTCTTTTTACAGAGCCTTTTAAGTCTTTTCGCTCTTTGAGCTTCCTTCCCCTTCAGCTCAGCTCAAAGCGTTGCCTCGAGCTCTTGTCACAAGCCCTGACCCGTGGTACGATACCCGCCTGCACCCCCAGGACTGAAAGCCACCGTCCGGCCCCCACCCTCGGTGGGGACTGCGCGGGCTTGGGCGAGGCGAGGTGGCCTGGGCGGCGAAGAGCGGAGGCGGAGGCGGAGGCGGAGGCGGGCGCGGCGTGGGCAGGGACGCCGGGGAGCGGTGGGCCTGCTCCGAGCTGCCTGGGGCGGGTCAGTCGGTGACGGGCTGTTTTGTTTTGCCCTTTCTCAGGACTGCTTTGTAAAAGAAAAGACTGCGTCTGTTTTCTCCACTAGAAATGGCCAATGTGAGTAAATGAGTCTGTCGGTGAACTATTTTGAAAACTTGTTAAGAAATGGGCGCTTTAATTATGATGGCTTTGGCGCTGTCAAGAGAAGCCATGACTGTAAAATTGTTATGCTTTGAGGACAATTTGAACACGTTTCTTTTAAATACACGTGGATTCTTCAATTTCATTTGTATGGACAGAAGTTCAAAGCATCTTAGTTAAGATATTTCAGTACTGAGAATTTTAGCCCTTTTCGATTCTCTTTGGCTGACTACTGAACTGAAGTTTGTTTTAGCAGTTCTAGTATAGGAAATGACTAAAATTGTACAAAACAAGGCTAAGAGATATTATTCACGCACACCAGTATGACTGTAAGTGCGCAGTTTTATCAGAAGTTGGGAGTGTATTTAACTCTAGTACTTGCCTAGCATGTGCAAAAAGAAAAAATTAGACACATCCTAGTAAGGGACATAAGATACGTATGGAACAGTTAACAATAAAAATAGAACATAATAATTTTTTAAAGCTTTTAAATGGTACAATTCAGAACTGATTAAGAGCAGATTCCGAGCTTTGTGCAGAAGAAAAAGTAGGAGTTTGGGATTACTTAGTGGGAAAAGCATTAAACTTGCGTTTTGAAAGATGAACAAGATTAGATAATTAAGGTGGGGAGAAGGACCAGAGTGTAGTACAATGTATTGAAAGGAATTCCCTCCCTACCCATTTTAAAGAAGTCATTTCTGCCTGTCTGAATGTAAGATGTGTGAAAGATTACTGGGAGAAAAATTTACATTGTGAGATGCAAACTTGAATCAGCCATACTCAGTAATTTAGACTTTATTTAAATTGTGATTTAATCAGAGCTGCGTGTTAGGAAGATTGAAGTGACAAAAATTAGTGAAGATGATACTTTTGTAATTGGTAAGAGTATAGTGACTATAGAGAAAAGTTTTAAGAGTAGATAGATTACCTAGCTGGGTGGTTGGCACATGCTTGCACTCTTACTGCTGTAGAAAGCTGAGACAGGAGAATCGCAAATTCAAACTCAGCCTGAGCAGTTTAGCCACTTAATAAAGTCATGTCTCAAAATTAAATAGGAATAGAGGACTGGGGATGTGCTCCTTGGTAGAACACTTAATTGGCATGTGGCCCCATGTTCAATCCTCAGTACTGGGGGAAGAAAAAAAACAGACTACCTTTCTGAACTAAGTTTTACATTGAGTTTTTACCTAGCCATAACCCACACAGAGAGAAAACAAAAGCAGCATATGGTATTCCCCAAAGAAATTAGTTGAAATTGAATATTTGACCTGATTTTATTTTGGTTTAAATGAATAAATTAGTTCAGTAGGGTGAATATTTTGGAAGATGCTTTTATAAATTCTTTGCTGTTGTGAAATAAAAATTCAGACAATATGGCAGCAGTAGGTTCATATGTCCAAATGATACTAGGAACATCTCTGTAACTAAGGGAAAGGTGCTTGTTCCTTTATATCACAGTGGCATTTTTCAGTTTGTAATTTCCATTATACCAACAGTTAGCAGTTTGGGTTTTTCTTATTTTTTAATGTACAAAGGCGAATAGTAAATATTGGAAGCTTTGTGGGCCATAAACTGAATTACAGCTACTCAACTCTGCCATTACGGTGTGAAAACAATCTTTAACAACAGATAAATAAATGGATGTAGCTGTTTATAATAAAACTTTATTTACCTAAGCAGTGCTCTACTAGGAAATAGCTTACCATCCCTTGATTTAAGTTATTCTGACCCAAATATTTTGCTAAAAGATTATGTATGGAAGATATTTACATATTTCCACATTACTTGTAACTTACAAGTCTAGAAAATGAACATAAGATCAGAAAATGTATCAGGAAGGTACAGTACTGTATATGCTAACGCAAAGGAAAGTGGACATTGCCATCAAACTAAGAGGAAAGAATGACACAGGAGATACCACAGTAAAAAAAGAAAGGTTTTGAAAATTAAGTAGAATTTGCTCCAAGAAATTTTAGATGTTTTATATCTTAAGGGTAAAAGAATGCCATTAGTTACGGTACCTTTTTATTTTATTTTATTTTTTTGGTACCAGGGATCGAACTCGGACCTTGCACTTGTGAGGCAGGCGGTGGAACCACTGAGCTAAATACCCGGCCCTATGGTGCCTTTTTAGTTTTGACATTAGAGAAATTTTTCTAGACTTTTTTCACTTGTGCAGCACTCTTGAATTATGACCTTTATTGAGAAAGATGTTTACCCAACATAGTTTAATACTTGCTTGGTATTTTGTTGTTGTGTTTGCTGATACTGGGATTGAACCCAGAGCCTTGATACTGAACTATATCTTCATCCCTTTTTAATTTTATTTTTTATTTTGAGATGGTCTCACTGAGTCACCACATTGCCCAGACAGGGCTGAAATGTGGCAGTCCTCCTGCTTCACCTGGGGTTAAAGGTGTGCGCTCATGCCTGACTTACTTGTTTTAATATTTGTGTTGTCAACATAAAATGGAAGAGTTTATTCAGGAGTAAGTGCAAGAATACACACACCATGGCATACTGAGAGGGAGCTATAGATGCACCCAAGCAGGCAAAAGAAGGCAAGGATTTTAAAGGTAAAACGAGGATAGTTACACAGTTGTTTTGAAAATTATCCTTGGCATAAAGGTCACTAACAAAAGTATCAGTCCAAAGTTGAACAGGCATTTGGTGGATGGGCATCTTCATAGAAGTATTTTTGTATTTGCGCAAGGTTGTGCTTTTTGCAGAATCTTTTGTGATGGTTCGTATTATGAGGCAAATATGATGACCCCCCCACACACCCCATCATGGCTTGGTTACTTCGTTTCATTAGGATATGACATAAGTAATTCCATTTTGATTCTGGCAATTTTCATGGTATTTACTTTAAAATTATAAACATATTATGTGTTTTACATAGGTAATCAGAATTTATAATATTTATCTCCAGAATAAATCATCTTAATTTTTTTATCATTCTTAGGTGCTCTATAACAGGGCCAGACTGGTTTCTTACCTCCCAGGATTTTACGCTTTAGTTAAAAGAGTTGTCAATCCAAAAGCCTTTTCAACAGCAGGATCTTCAGGTTCTGATGGATCTCATGTGGCCACTGCACCCCCAGATATATGTAAGTGAAAGATACTGCATTTAATACACCTAACCTACCAAATACCATAGCAACACAGTACTTGATGAAGTTTTGATTATTTATAGTGACCATATAACTCACTATTAACTGTAGCTCACTGCCCTGCATTGAGAGAGATTATAGCATATTGCTAGCCAGGAAAAAGATCAAAATTCAAAGGTTGGGGCCTATTGGTTTCACACCTTAAAGTCAAAATGTCATGTGTTAAACCACCACAAATCAGGGTCTATCTGTACTGTTTTCCAAAGCTTATTTGCTGAACTTTAATTTCTGTCCTCAAATAACACAGTCCTGCCTGAAATAAGTCTCTTTTTCATCCCATGAAAACATTACATCTTGCCATTCTTGATAAATTTCTTAAATGTAACTGACAGATTTTATGTATAGTATGTATTCAGTGATTTGCAGCACCTGCAAAGTCTGCTGCTTCTAATCTGTTTGGCACAGCCCTGTCATGCTGATGAATTTTTGTTGTTGTTTTTTGGGCAGTACTGGGGATTGAACTCAAGACTTTGCGCTTTGTGAGGCGGATGCAGTGCCACTGAGCTAAATCCTCAGCCCTGATGATTTTTAAATGTTTTGTGTCCCTTAATAAACCTTGATTGTCTCTCATTACTTTCAACAACAAATCTCAAATTACCCTCAAGCTATGAGTCATTGTTTTTGTTTGTTTGTTTGTTTTTAAGAGGGTTCTGTGGGGGCCAGAGGTTTAGTTCAGTGGAGCCAGTGCCTTCCTGGCAAGCTCAAGGTCCTGAGTTTGATCCCTGGTTCCGGAGAAAAAAAAGAGGGTTCTCTGGTTAGGTAAGTTTGAGAAATGCTACATTCCTGTCGTATCTTGAAAATTAAGAAAAAGTTTTTTTGTTAGTACATGTTTGCAGTATATTTGCATTCCTTGTGGGGAGTTGGCACATGTACTTAACACATCTTGATTACTTTTTATCATTCCCTTTGCCTTCCCTTCCCCCTTCATCTCTTGGTCCCCTTCCCTATTGCAAAAGATCTATCTCCCTATTTCCTATTATCTGTCTTTTACTTTGCTCTTTATTTATATTTTGGGTATCTCATATAAGAGAAACCATGTGATATTTAAGCTTGTATATATGATTTATTTCAGTTAACATTGTCTCAAGGTGAAACTATTTTCCTACAAATGACTCAAGTTTATCCTTTATGGCAGCTCCATTGTGTATAAATGCCACATTTTTTATCCATTCATCTGTTGATGGACATATTAAAAATTGTGCTGCTATAAGCATAAGTATGCATGTATCACTAATATGTCTTTAAACTCTTCTAGGAAGAGAGTTAGAAGGGGAATAGCTGGGTCAAATAGAATTCTAATTTTAGTTTTTTGTAGTCTCTCCATACTGATTTCTGTAATAGTTATCCTGGTTTACATTCCCACCAGCAGTGTAGAAGAGATCTGTTATAGCCGCAGCCTTGCCAGCATTTTTATTATTTGATTTCTTGATGATTCACATTCTGGAGTAAGATGGAATTTCTGTGTTTTAATTTGCCCTTCACTAATGGCCAGAGAAGGTGAACATTTTTTCGTGTATTTATTGGCCATTTGTACTTCTGTAAAGTGTCTATCCATTTCAATTGCCCATTATTTGATTGAGTTTTATTTTGGGGAGGGTCTAATTTTTTTTAGTCCTTTATATATTTTAGATGTGTCCTTTATCAAATAGTTGGCAGAAGTTTTCCCCTGTTCTGTAGGTTTTCTTTTCACTGTTGGGTTTTTTTGCTGTACAGAAGCTTTTTAATTGATATAATCCCATTTGTTGATTCTTGGTACTATTTCACATGCAACCAGGGTATGTTGAGGTGTCTTTGTCTGTGCCTGACTTCAGAGCTTAACCTGTTTTTATCTTCCACAGATTGCTTCAGTTTTAACATTTAGTTCTGTGATCTATTTTGATTTTAGTTTAGTACATGGTGGAAGACAAGGGTTAAATTTAGTCTTCTGCATGTGCATAGCCACTTTTCCCAATACCATTTATTAAAGAGGCTATCTTTCCTCCAGTATATGTTTTTGGCCCTTTTGTCAAAGAGTAAAAAGTTGAATGTGTTTGCAGTTGTTTCTGCGTCCTCTGTTCTATTCCATGAATCCACATGTCTGTTTTTGTGCCAATACCATGCTGTAATATAACTTCAAGTCCAGGATTGTGATGCCTCCTGCTTCACTCTTGTTATCCAGGATTGCATTTGCTATTCTGAGTCTTGTTCCATATGAATTTTTGGTTTGTTTTCTCCATTTCTCTGAACAGTGATGTTGGTATTTTGTTTGGGATTGCATTAAATCTTTGTATCAATTTTGGAAGTACAGCCATTTTGACTGTGTAGTTTCTGGCTGTCCGGGAACAGGGGATACGTTTCCACTTTCTGATGGATGTCCTCTTTGATTTTCTTTTTCAGAGTACTATAGTTTTCATTCTAGAGATCTTTTACTTCCTTAGGTTAATATCTAAGTATTTGATTTTTCTTGGTGCTATCTTAATTGGTAATTTTTTTTTCACCATGGATTCACTACTGCTCCATAAGAATGATACTGATTTTTGTGTGTTGATTTTGTATCCTGCTACACTGCTGAACTTGGTTTTTCAGGAGTCTTGGTGGAATTTTTTGGGTCTTCTCTTTACAGGATTATGTCATTTGCAAATAATTTGTTTTTCTTTCTTACTTGTATTCCTTTCTTTTTCTTGCCTGATTGCTCTTGCAAATGTTTCCAGAGCTATGTTGAACAGAAGTGGTGAGGGTGGACATCCTTGTCTTGTTTCTGATTTTAGAAGGAAAGGTTTTGGTTTTTCCCTATTTGATATGATGTTGGCAGTAGGTTCATCATAAATGGCTCTTATGAGATTGAAATAAAGTTCTGACCTTCTGTTCCTATTTTCTTCAGTGTTTTTATTGTGAAAAGTTGTTGGATTTTGCCAAAGGCATTTTCTGCCTCTGTTGAGATGATCATGTGATTTTTGTCCTTGCTCCTGTTTATGTGATGTATTTATTGATTTGTGTATGTTGAACCATCCCTGCATCCCTGGGAAGAAGTTATGTAGTCATGATGTATGATCTTTTTGATGATTCGTTGCATCTTCTTTGCCAGTATCTTGTTGAGAACTTTTCCATTTGTGTTCATTAGAGAAATTGGCCTGTGGCTTTCTTCTTTGGTTGGGTCCTTGTCTGGTTTTGAAATCCAGGTAATGCTAGCTTCCAGAAATGACTTTGGGAGTACTCCTTCTCTTTTGATTTCATTGAAGAGTTTAAGGAGTATTGACATTAGATCTTCTCTGAAGTTCTTGTAGAATTTGGCAGTGAATTCATGAGATCCTAGGCTTTTCTTGGTAAGTTTTTTTATTACTGCTTCACTTTCATTGCCTGCTATTGGATAATGAGGGATTTAAAAATTTCTTGGTTCAGTTTTGATAATTCATAAGTATCCAGGAATCTGTTTCTTCTCAATTCTTCAATTTATTGACATACAGTTTTGCAAAGTACTTGTTAATAATTGGGTTTCAGCAATATCCATTGTTATTTCACCTTTTTCATTTCTAATTGCGTTGATTTGGGTCTTTTCTCTTTTTTTTGTTAAATTGACTAAGGGTTTGTCTGTTTTGTTTATTCTTTCAAAGAACTCACTCTTTCATTCATTGATTCTTTGTAGTTTTTTGAAGGAGGGTCTCAATTTCATTGATTTCTGCTTTGATCTTTAAATTTTCCTTTTTCATACTAGCTTTGGGTTGGATTGTTCTTGCTTTTCTAGGACTTTGAGGTACATGCTTAGATTATTTATTTGGGCTCACTCTTTTTATGATGTGAGGATTCACAGCTACAGACTTCCCTCTTTGGCCTGCTTTCACTGGCCCATAAGTTTTATGTGTTCTACTGTTATTATCATTTAGTTCTGGAAATATCATATTTATTCCTTGATTTCTTCATAACCCATTAATTATTTATGCACACTAGAATATTAAAGACCCTTAGAAGTTTAACCTTATGTGTCCTTAAGGTATTGCAGGTAAAATCATTTTTGCTTGAAACATATCGCTACAGTGTAATTTAAGTTCACTTGGGTATTCAAAGCCTTTCATCTTACCTTGATTTTCTTTTATAGCACTTTCTTTGACTAATCCAGTTTACATCACCTAAAGACTAACCATATATGTATAATAAATGAAAGATTTTTGTTATTTAGATATGTAACAGGTTAGTATCCTGATATATAAAAAGAATTTTTATAGACCAATAGGAAAAAGACAACCCAATCGAAAACCAAATAGAAGCGTATGAACAGGCCTTTCACAAAAAAGAAATCCTAAATGACTAATATATGAAAATGTGCTCAAATCCACTGTTAATGTGGAAGATATATTTTCTTTAAAGAAAACCTGAGACTGTGAGACCTCAGTGGTCTTTAAAACTCGTCTTGTTCAGAAATAGCTAACAGATTTTATCTTATGAATTGACTCCAGTCAATCTTAGTGGCTGCCTGGATCCCTGTTACTCCATATCATCTGGGAATTTATTAGAAATGTAAAATCCTGAGCCTTACTCCAGATTTATTAAATCAGAATCTACATTTTAACAAATCGGAGATGATTCTTAAGTACTCTAAAGTTTGAGAAGCATTGGTGTAGAGTAAGTTGAGAATTTTGAAACAGTTCAGCAGGAGAGAATTGCATGGTTACTGTGTCTTCTTTGTTATTAAGTATGGAAGAGGAATATAATGGCATTCATGATCAAGCAAGGAGGCAGACATATCAACGTAGTCATATGCAGACATTAGTTCTGGCAGGGTATTAAAAATAATTATTTTATTCCTAAGTAACATGCACAGCATCGTCCATCTTTTTCTCTAAACCAAACTTACACTCTTGAGTGTTTATTGGTTTAATTTCCAACTTTATTCTTTCTGAATCCTTATGAATTTTTATAAATTAGTATATTTTTTAAATTGTATGCAAATAATGTGGTCTGTTCTATTGTACATATTTATAATCTATTAATTCATGCAGCTTATAAACACAAGGTTATGTTACGTAATACATGGCTTTTCCCATGGTCCATTAATCCTGTGTGCCCCTAGAGAACAGCAGATAAATTGCCCCCCCCAAGGATAACTACTGTTAAATTGAGTGTCTTTTCTTTTAAATCTTTTTCTCTTTATTTAAAAATAGGAATATAAAGATATAAATGTTATTTTGCTGTTCTTGATACAGCTTTTCCTTTTAATGCTGTATAACCTGGACTTTACTCAGGTCAGTCAGTACATAAACATTTACTGTATTCTTTTTAATGACTGACATCCAGTATATGAGTGACAGTACTTTATTGACTCTTTCCCCGAATAGTTGATCTGCCTGTGAGCCAACAACTAGTTGTTGTGATTAGCATTTTGGAAACAACAACATGAAACTAATTTATATTTATTCAAGAAAGCAGATATCAAAGATGTGTTAGTAAAAATCACATACATTGTAAGAACATTTTTTCAGGCTCCCTGTGTGCTTGACTTTTAAGGAGAAAATGATTGCTTTTGTTGCTCTTCTTTAGGCTCTCGAACAGTGTGGCCTGATGAAACTATGGGACCTTTTGGACCTCAGGATCAGCGTTTCCAACTTCCTGGAAACATAGGCTTTGATTGTCACCTTAATGGGACTGTTGCACAGAAGAAAAGCCAGGTTCATAAAACTTTACCTGATGTATTAGCAGAACCTTTATCAACTGAAAGACATGAGTTTGTGATGGCGCAATATGTAAATGAATTTCAGGTAAATTGTTCTTTGCCATTGTGTTTTTCTTTTTTTCTTTTTTTTCTTAAATTCTTTTATTGGCACATTGTAGGTATACAACACAATTACATTTCTCATTGGGAATTGTACCTTTACATGATGCATCTTGGTTCTTATTTTTT